AGAGGGTTGCAGGGGCAATACAAACATGCCAGAGAAGCACTTCCAGGGAAAACAGGAGTGGAACCAAGAGTTTGGGGGTCGTTGAAATAGAGGGGGACACAGGAGGGGGTCACAGGCTCAAACCCTGAACAGGAGTAGGAGAGTGGGGCTGAGGACCCAGTGAAGGTTATTAGAGTTGGTGACTGAGAGGTCAATAAAAGGGCAGGGGTTAAAGAGTGAGTTGGTGGAGGAGAAATGGGGACAGCAAGGGTGGACAACTGTAGGTTATCTTTTGAGAAATACACAGAAGACTGGAGACAGGCCCATATTTTGAAAAGGTTGCAGCCAAGCTTTGTTAGTCTAGGGGAGAGGAGGAAATCTGTGCACAGAGGACAGAGTTAAGGAGCCGTTGGAGAGGGGGTGATTGAAACTACCAGAAAGAGCAGACAGGGAGAATAGCCAAGATCAGAAGGGAAAGGAAAGACAGGAAGCCAAGGCTGGAAGAGGTCAGATCTTCAGGCGGGAAGAAAGGGGTGAGTTTGGGGCTCCAGCTGGACCAAGGCATTGATCTAAAAGTGGGAGTCAAGGTTGAGGTGGGCTTCTTAAGGTAAGGGTGGCCAGGGTAGAGCTGGGCTGGAGGGTCACCGAGGAAGGGGTGGAACCAGAGGGGCAGTCTGGGCACCTGACGTGTTACTCAATAGGTCTGGGAGGCAGCGAAGCTGGGCTGGGATTTGCCTTGGGCCCAGTCTGAGGCCCTGCATTTTGGGAGCAGGGTGGAGCAGCAAACCACAGTGCAACCCGATTACAATGTCTCAGGAGCCTGGAGGCCAGTACACCATGAGAGTAATGAGGGACCTCCCTGGGGGAAAGGAGGGACAGCTGCCAGAGCCCAGCCAGGAGGGCTTAGTAGAACAATATGGGCAGCAGTGTGGGGGTCAAGGGCCTGAGCACCAATGTGAGGAATTAACCATTGTTACTATTTTCTTATTTTATTTTTTATTTTTAGAGAGAGGGAAGGGAAGGAAAAAGAGGAAGAGAAACATCAATGTGTGGTTGCCTCTCACTTGCCCCGCACTGGGGACCTGACCTGCAATCCAGGCATGTGCCCTGACTGGGAATTGAACCAATGACCCTTTGGTTTGCAGGCTGGTGCTCAATCCACTGAGCCATGCCAGCCAGGGCCCATTGTTACTGTTTTTGAACAATCTGAGATGGGCTCTGAGTGGGGAGAACATGACGTGCAGAAAGCAAGCATTGCTGTGTGCCAGACACTGCTCTATATTAACTGACTTAATCCTCTGAAGACCATCCCCACTGTGAATTAGGTGTCATTATTCCACTTTACAAATGAGGAAGTTGAGGTTCAGAGAGGGGAAGTAACTTGGCCCAGGTCACACAGCCAGTTGGTGACATTTGAAAGGTGTTTCTGACTCTAAAGTATGCTTTCGGATACACCTTTTTATCAACTATTTACTGGGTAGGTGGCCTTGGGCAAGTTACTTAATTTCTTCCTCACTTTCCTCATCTGAAAGGTAAGGATAACAGTAATGCCATTACACAGATTTTTGTGAGGATTAAATAAATTACTATATGGAATGGATTTAAAACAGTATCTAGTGGAAGTGCTGCTTAAGGGGGTGCTATTTGTTATTGTTCCTATCACTGTTGTTGTTGTCGTCATTATTCTCGTTACTCCAGCCAGACACTAAGAATTTTTAGGGAAGTGAGAGGAGGTTCTAGGGCATATTGTTAATTTAGTGGGGTCTTATAGTGAGAGAAAGGGGAGAGAACAGCATCCAACTAGTGGTTCTTAACCAGAGACACTTGTGTCGTCACAGAGGCCTGGAGGAGGAGCCCGGAGGGTTAACAGTGGTCAGTCATGTCCCAGTGGAAAATGTTCAGGAGACACTCAGCAGGAAAGGGTGCTCAGGATTTAACTCCTCGGAAGAGTAGCAGTTTCAGAGACCGGTGCGGTTTGAGCAAGCATCAGGCATTTGGAATGAGCTCGGGTGTCTGTTGGGCTGAAGAGTCAGGCCCTATTGCAAGAAAGGCTTTGTGGAGGGGAGGGCGGGGGAAGGCTGTGAAAGTAGGCCGGAACCAAAGCTCAGAAGGCCAGGCTGGGGGTCTGGACAGGAGCCGAATTCAACATACGAATTTTGGGGATAAAACTCATATGTTACAGTGTTTGTCCCCTATAGCATGAAGGATTTAACCTAGCTGCAAAATGACCTAGAACCAAGAGCTAAAGGTAAACTGGGAGACTAGAGAAGAGAACAGTGTTCCAGGTGAGAGCCATGGGGTTCTGGACAAGGGGCGTGACATATTTAGGAAGATCACTCATGGAGCCAGGGAAGAGGCTGGGCATGGGGGGAGACCTTCCGGACCCATTAGGGATCCACACTCAGCACTAGGGGAGTGAGGTCAAACCCTGGCAGGACAGGCACGTGAACTGGGCTGGGTTTGGGGTTGGAGTGTGCAGGTAAGCAGCAGTACTGTGGGTCATTTGAAGGAAAACCCAATGTAAGGCTGTGTGACTAGAGAGTGGGCTGGACCGGATCTGGTGGGCACATGACCTGGGAGGGAATTCTGGGAGAAATGGACTCATTATGAACTCAAGGTGATCACAGTGAATTTCAGGTGATGATGGACACTCTGGGAGGAGATGCCGGTTGGAAGTCCACAGTGAATTGCCAATTTGGGAGTCATTAACCCATACCCACTGAGAACCCATCCTGCTCAAGGCACATACAAAATAAGGCCCTGTGAGGGTCATTCCTACGGGGTTGCTAGTTGAATTTGGAGTCCTGCTCAAAGTAAATTGATTATGGGAAGAGAGTGTGGAGGGGAAGCACTGAAAACCTTCAGACTGAGCCTGGGCCCTTTATGCAGATAAAGGAGGACAAGGGTTGCTGGGAGAGGATCCACGAGGTCAGAGAACTAGGAGAGGGCAGAGAGCTGCCAGAAGGGCGTCAGCAGCCTACAAGAGGCCTGGGGGCTGGCTGCTTGCAGGGCAAGTGACTTCAGGACAGCAGCAGGGTGGAGGCTAGCGATAGACAGGGGAGCCACGAAGGAAAGAAGCAGTTGGTGAAGATGGCTGCGGAACTGGAGAAGAAGTCTGGGAGTTGAAGGAAAGAAGGGGGTAGCTGTGGTTCTGAAGGAAGGCTGAAGAGGATGTATATGAGAGAGAGGAAACATTGAGGCTGATGGAGGGGAAGGAGAAGAGAGGGTGGTTCTCTGAGCTACAGGGTCCCAAGGAACCACCCTCACCTTATGAACAAAGTAGTGGATTTCTCCAGCTCGGCTCTCTGGCCTTTCTCTGCTCTACCTCCCAGCTCCCAACCCCCAGTTTTAGGCCATTTCCTCAGCTGCAGCCTCAAGGAGCACGGAGGAAAACAGCTCTGTCCTGTAACTGTCCCGATTTATCTGGCCTTCCCACCCCGCCATCCAAACTCAGCAGTTCTGACTCCTGAGCTCTCCGCTTTCCCCTCCCCAGGAGAAAGTTCAGCTCCTGCAGGTGACAGGACTGTGGAGCGGTTTCCTGTTTGCCATCCTCAGTGCACTCTGGCTTTTTCAAAAGCTTGCGGACCACCCTGCGCCCTTCTCCCCTTCCCCCCACGTCTTGTGCTACTCCTTTTCAGGCTAGACTTGCCATTTTTGGCCTTTGCTTTGATCACAGTCCCTTCTGAGAAGTGATGCCCTGATCCTCTTCCCCCACCTTCCCCCCACCCCCAGCTCCCTGGTCTCTCTGAGTCTGTCACCAGAGTTAGGAATCAGCAGAGGATGTTGAAAACTCCTCTCCTCTGGGAATCCTACTCCAATTGGGCTCATTCAATTCTTACTGCTCCTTTCCTCTGTCGATTCTGCAGATGGGGGGTCCACTTAGATAACTTTGCAGCTAAAAAGCAGCATGTGCTCTGGTATCTTACTGTTGTAGAACCACTTTGCTTTATATTCTGGAAGGGAACTAGAGATCACCTAGCCCAAGGATTTCAAAGAATGTTTTAAACTCTAGAACCTTTTATTCAGTTATGAAAACACACACAGAGAGGGCAAAGCAGAAGTGTGGTGGCTGAATCTCGCTCACCTTTGTGCCTACTCTTGCCCATAGCAGCAGCTCGGGATGCTCCTGGCAATCCCTAGAGCTCCACCAAGCACGTCCTGAAGGTCTGATGTCTTCATTTACAAGTGAGAAAACTGAGTTCCAGAGAGAGGAAGGGACTTGCCCAAGGTCACACACCAAGAGCAAAAACTGAGAATGTCCCCAAATTCCTCTTAGTTCTAGCATTCTAGGACTTAGAAACTTCTAAATGAGCCATTCCTTTAGTGTTCCTTTGTATACTCTGTGTCTGTCATTTGCTTACTAACAAATGTTCGTTGAGTACCTACTATGCAATGGGTACACAGTAGGCCCTCAGGACTAGTAGGTACTAGTTCTGGGAGTCAGGGGAAGCCAGAGTAGACACAATCTTCCCTCACAGGGCTCAGTCCAGCAGTGGGGCCAGAAAAACGACGTCTGTGAAAAGTGCCATAAAGGAGAGGTTAACGGTGTGATAAGGAGGGCTTGTAAGTGGGCTGTCGGTTTGATCCGGCTGCTAGACCAACAAGAAAACACCAGACTGGGTGGCTGATAAACAACAGAGGTTTGTTCCTCACGGTTTTGGAGGCTGGGATGTCCAAGATCAAGGCATGAATAGATTTGGTGTCTGTCTGGTGAGGGCCTATCTTTGTTCACAGGTGACTGTCTTCTCACCGCATCCTCACATGGTGGGAGGGGCGAGGGAACACTCTGGAGTCCGTTTTATAAGGACACTAGCCCCACTCATGTGGTCTCTGCCCTCAGGACCTGCCTGCCTCCCAAGGCCCCACCTCTTCATGCTATCCCTTTGGGCATTAGGTTTCAGCATATGAATTTTGGGGGGCATAAAACTCAGTCTATGCCATGGGGGGGTTAACCTCATTGGAAAGTGACCTGGGGCAGTGCGCTCTGCTTGGGGAGGCGGAGGCCACGCGCGAGAGGAAAGATGGAAGACTTCCAGGCTGCGGAAGAGACCGCTTTTGTTGTTGACGAGGTGAGCAACGTTGTGAAAGAGGCTATGGACCGTGCCATCGGCGGTGGCACCTATCAGCACAGCAAAGTGAATCAGTGGACCACAAACGTAGCAGAGGAGACTTCAAGCCAACTCTCCAAGCTGGGAGAACCATGTAAATACACCGGGAGCTGCCCCGTGCGATGGGAGGATGAGGCCTCGGACAGCATCGCCCGCGCCTTTGGACCGTCCGTCTGACCTCATCCACCCGGGCCCTTCCTCCTTTTGTCTCAGCGTTTCTCCTGCATCTTCATTAACCACCAGCCACGAATCCAGTGCACACCTTTCCTATTCCCTGTGGTGTTTTTGTGGCCCTCACAAAATGTAGAGAAGAAACCCAAATGACCGCACCTTCCTACGATCAGCACGCCCTCGGTCAGAGGAATCGTTCTCCTCTGGCCGTAGCAGGCCAGGGCCACTACCGGTCTCAAATCTGAGTCTCTCTGCTGAAAGGCGCTAAAAACTCAAAACTGCCAGCATGAAACTCTCTCCTCTCTGAAGTGATTCAACACTTTAATATTCCATACTTTGCACTTTTGTTAAAATAAATTAATCCAATTTTAAAGAAAGAAAGACCTGCAACCAAGAAGACCTGCAACCAAGAGCCAAAGGTAAACCAGAAGACTAGAAGAGGGAAAAGTGTTCCAGGCCCAAGGGACAGAAAGGACGAAGGGAGGGGCGTAGGGCAGTGTGGCCGGAGCGGCGGGGGGGTGGGGGGCGTAGCGGGGAGCTGTGGTCGACAGGGAAGCAGGGGCTGCATACCAGACGGGGCTGTGCAGGCTGTTAAAAGGTGCTAGGGCTTTCTTCTAGGATTAGATTTGTGTTTCAGAAAGATGCCTCCAGTTGCAAAAGGTGACTGAATGCCCTGTCCCCATCCCTGTCCTAGCTAGGTTCCTTTCATTCCATCTTCTGTCTGCTTTTCTGACATCTGCCACATGCTGCTTGGGGAATTCTTAGCAAGTTTTGTGTCCACTTTTTGTGGCATATGCATTTCGGCTCTAAGGTATTGTGAGTGGCTTGTTACTGTATCATTTATTCATTCAATAATTATTAAGCACCACTATGAGCCCAGTTACCATTTGATTATCATTACGGGCAACCCACATGATGGGCGATGGTACGTTCTAGTGTGTGATGTGGGTGCACTGCACCATTGGTGTGTGCTTGTATGTGGATGTGTTGACTATGGCGCTATAAATGATGGCCACTGTGGGTATTATATGGCTGTCGGTGTAAGTCTTCTCTAGGTGCCATTGTGTGACTGTCATTGTGGGGGTTGTGTGTAGGTATGAGACCACAGTGGGTGTGGCTGAGGTGGGTAGGTGCTTGTGTGTCACTGTGCAGTGTGAATGTAGGGCCGTCAGTGTGTGGCATGCGTGCCCTGACTTGGTCAGGTTTGGTTGGTGTGATGTGTCCCTGTGTCTGTGGGATCTCAGAAGACCCCAGCTTCTGCTGTAAACCCACCGGAGAATGGGCTCCCCTGAGACTGTTGGAGGCCCCTGGGATGACTGACGTAGGGAGAGGAGCTTCTGCCTGGGGCGGCCCTCGGGTATTGAGTAGTACGAGCCTCCCCCTCTGGCACTGGAGGGGAGAAGGGTGATGGGGGCAACCGGGCGGGTCAGAGCTGGCCAGACGGGGCCAGATTAATAAACAGGGACCCGAGGGAGGGAAGGTCTGGGCGGGCGGCTATGGCAGGAGGCGGCTGAGATGAAAGTGGCCCGACTGGCGGGCAGGCAGGTGGCCTCTCCCCTGCCCTGTCAGCACTTTTTAATGTCCCCTTGGTTACAATGTGTGGGAGGAGTGGGGTGAGGGGAGCTGGAGCTCACCTTTCCCAGGCCCTGGAGGAGGGGGCTGGGGCAGCCTCGAGGTGGGGTTTCTTTTGGGGGGCGGGAGGAATGTGGCTCATAGGTGTAACTGAGAGGAAGAGCCTGGCTTGTGCCCCCTCTCTGCCCCCAAAAATCTCCTCAGCTCAGCCTCTCCAGGGCAGGTAGGATTAGGAAGCAACTGGAAAAACAGAGGAGACAGAAAGGAAGGTGAAAGGGGATGGCTGTGCGTGAGCTCGTGTGACAATGTGTGTGGCGCCACGTACCGGTTCTTGTCGGGGCGTGAATTTGAACCCGTGTGAATAAATGAGTGGAAGGCTGAGTCCATGAGACCACATGAGCGAGACTGTGTGTGTTTGTGTCAGTTCAGCTCTCTGCATGTGGGAATCTCCACTTTAAAACTGGGGGCTTGCGTCCTGGCATGGCCTATTGCCGGAGTGGGGCTTTGGGCAGGCCATCTAACCTCCCTGAGCTTCATGGCTGCCTCTCTACAGCAGGGATGAGGGTGTTTGTTTCACAGGGTGACTGTGGGGCCTAAATAACTGAAATAAATGTTCAGTTGTAAGTCTCTCTGTAAACATGAGGTGTCATTGCTAGTAATCGCACGTGGGGCCTGTTGGTCGACTGTGTACAGTTGTGTGGGTGTGTCTGGGGGCTGAGTGTCTTTTTGTAGCAGTCATAGTGGGCGTCTGGGTGAGAACATGTATGCGAGTAAGTGTGAATGATTTGCGATGAGTGTGTTGTGCAAGTGAGTGTACAGGTGTTATATGTGTATTTGGTAGTTGTAGTAAAATATATGAAAATATCTGTGTGGATCCAAGAGTGGTGAGTGTGAGTGTCTGTGTGACTGAATGTGTGTTTGTCTTTGGGTGTCGGCCTCCTTGTGTGCATCTGTTCACAATAGGTGATTTTGTGTCTTGAGGTGAGTGTGAGTTGCCTTGGCACCTCAGATGGACGTGTGCATCTTGGAGTGTGCACTGGCTTTGTGTGGGGAAGGGTTTTGTGTGTCCCTGGGTGTGTGTCCCAAAGCGAGTGTGGTTGAATGTGCCTTTGTCTTGGTTGTGTGAGTGTGATGGTGGTAAGTGGTGCCTTGGTGTGGCTGTGTGTGACTGTGTGTATGTGACAGTGTGTGTGCGTTTGCGTGCGAGTGTGTGTTTGGTGAGCGGCTCTGCTGCCTTAAGCACCTTTCGAATACATTGGCCACAGCTCATTGAATCCTTTAACAATCTGACTCTGCTCTTCCTTCCCCGTTTTTTCTAATTCAGTTCCTCTTATTACAAAAATAAAAAATAAAGCGCTGCCCCTTTCCAGTGGCTGGCCCCGCGGAGCCCCCGCCTCGGGACCAGCCTCGTTTCACTCCATTTCGGAGAAAACGGGAAGTCGGTAATTTTAAAAAATATTTCTACTTTATTTGGGATTTAATGTTCTTACAGAATCCTGCTGCCTCCCTGTGTCCCCCCACCATCTACCCCCAGCCCCACATGCAAGAGGCGTAATGGCCCGTTCAGCATATTAGGGGAGCCAAGCGTGCACCCGTTTGTGTGTGTGTGTCCATGGGGTGGTCCACACACACAGACGCACACACACAGAGATAAAAATGCTCAGAGACCCACAGCAGACACACATAGGAATAGACAGCAATTCAAACATATACTCAGACATGAACTCAAACACTCTACCCTAACACCCAACTATCACACAAAGACAGAGCCCCACCCCAGACACAGTCACACTCTGAAGGGAAGCAAGTGCAGAGCACTGTTGGGGGAGAGTCTCCAGAGACATGAAGAGAGCCAGACAGGCAGGGAGGGGAAGATGGAAAGAGACATGTTCCCAGTGAGAGACAGATCGGAAGCAGCTTCCACACATAAAGAAATGCGAGTAGAGTAGTTCTAGGGGGCAGGAGGGGGCTAATCATCCCTGGGCCAGGCAATGCATGTCAAGAACTGACTACTTGAGGTTATATAGGGAGCTAAGACTAGATGTGGGGACAGAAATAAGGATCCTGTACCACTTTCCTGGGCCCTGCTGTTGGGGGTCCCCGGGCAGTCAAGTGCATAAATGTGTGCACGTGTGGGTGTGTATATGTGTAAGATGTGCTTTTGAACAGCACTAACTTAAGGGCCATGCCCACAGTAGGCTTGACAGAGGCGGGCAGGGCCTGAGTGTGGATGTGGATGTCTATAACTATATCTCAGAAAACCCGTGTGTGCATGCACAAGGGAGTATCCCTCATGATGTATAGGCCTGTGTAGGCATGGCCATGTCTATGCAGAGACCATAAACCCCATAGGGACAGGTACCATGTACCCCCTCTGTATCCCCATCACCTAAGAAAGGGCTTGGCACATGGTAGGCACAGTAAATATTTATTGAAGAATGAATGAATAAACAAAATCACTCTGGGAGCTCAGATAATTTAGGGAGAGCCTGACCTCCACTCGTAGAGAGCATGAGCAGCCCAGATTCTGGGCAGGACCTGGGAAGAGGGGAGATGCTGCACCATGGGGTGGTTAGGTGGGAACTCAGGTACCGTATTTTCAGACTACAAGATGCACTCCCCCAAATTTGGGAGGAAAGGGGTGTGTGTCTTATAGTCCAAATATAGCTTTACATTTACATTGGTGAAATATTGTTATTTATGTTATTAAATATTTTACCACATTTTTTGCTTCAAAAATATTTTCCTATTTTCCTCCTCTAAAACTTAAGTGCATCTTATGGTCCAAAAAATGGTAATCTTTTCCTGCTGCCATCTCTCTCGCCAGGAGATGTGGGCCTTGTGGTCTGTGCTTTGTCCAGAGTGATGAGTTTCAAGAGTTATTTAAGACTATTCTGTGGTGGAGAAAAGGAAATGAGCTATCCATTTGTTAAATATGGGACAGGTGAGGGAGAGAAGGGTAGTAGTGGACAGAAACTCAAGATAGATGGATAGACAGAGACATATAGACATACTGACTAAACACAAACTGATGAATAGGTTTATTTCTAGACAGACTCGAAGACAAATAGAGACACAGATAAATAGATATACAGATAGAAGCACAGGCTGACATGAAAAGTCAGGCAGGCAGACAGTCCCCAGGAGTGACTGACAAACCAATAGACAGGCAGACCAATCAATAGGTAGAGAGATGGACAGCTGATTGCACAGAAAAGAGGGGTGTACAGCCCAGCATACACAATAGGCCTACTCAACAGCCACGACCCATGTCCCATCCTCCCTTGCTAATGGAACCCATTTTTTGTTTGGTGTTTGGAGACCAAGTCCTTTGGGGAAGGTTGAACCTCTCCATTGCCCCAGAGGTTAACCTTAGTTGATCCAGGGAAATCATGGTAATTTCATTTCCTTTGCTGGTTATTTGTTTAGGAATG